GTAAAATCAGTTCCCTTGTGTGTACAGAATGTTCTGGCCCAGACAGAAGATGACGAACTGTACAGGAATTGGGGGACAATAGTGGCCCACATAATACTATTTTATGTTTGGCATTTAAAAGAACTACAATGGAAACTAATTTAGCTATTATGCTTTCAAGAAGCAGCCCTCAGGGATGGGGAGATAGCTTGGTGGTCTAAGCACCTGCCTGGCAAGTGCAAGGACCAAGGTTTGAACTCCAGGACAGCATGCCATGCTGGCCCTGGAACACCAGGCGTGCTGTGCCAGCTACCAGAACCGAGCATGGTGTTGCACGTCTGTAATCCCAGTGCTGGGGAGGCTGAGATAGGAGGATCACTACAAGTCTGAGCTGCGTAGTGAGACCCTGTACCAAATAAATAACTAAATAAAGCTTTTAAAAAGGGAAGTAGCCCTCTTAAAATATTTATATTTCTATCAATTCCACTGATAAAAGAATCTCTTCCCTGATAAAAGAATGTAAATATGATAAGAAGTTAAACTACGTCTTACCATATTTTTGTGTAGTCCTACAAAATATGTAACTAATCAAAGGAGATTGAAATCAATCTAGTAATATCTTTAGAGGAAGTTTGACTGAGGAGGGATACAGATAATTTTATTTATGTTTTTATTTATTTATTTTTTTGGCTGGCTCAGGCTGCCTTAAGGGTGGGTCTGGTGTGGCATGTGGTGCTGGAGATTGAACCATGGTCCCCTATGCCTGACTGAGTTTACTCAAGCAGCTGCTTTAGACGACTGAGCTAACCCGCAAGCCCCAAGGGGTAAAGGTAATTTTAAGAGTGATGGAATCACCCTTGTTGCTAAAAGTATGAGTTCCAGCAAGTATTTATCAAAACTGACCAACTGTACTGTTAGAATCTGTACATTTGCATGTATTTTACCTCAAAAAGTTTTTAAAACTATCTTACTTTCTTTAGTGTTTAGAAAATTTTCAAAACACCTTCCTCTACCTCTAGGAGAAGCAACTATTTAAACTTTCATTTAATACTTTTTAGAAAATTTTGAGGAAGATTGATTTTAGGAATGTTAAGTTATAAGCTTAGAGTTTGATAGTGGATTTTCATTTATGGCCAGAATGATAAAACCACTCGTGGAATAGTCAAGCTCACTTCATTGGCCTGTATACCTCTCCTTCTCTCTTCCTTCCCTTCAGTGTAGTTTGTTCCAGTTTGTCATTGACTGGATTTTGGGAAGCAAAATGGTCATTGATTTTTTTTTGTTTTGTTTTGTTTTGGCGGAACCAGGGATTGAACTCAAGCCCTCGCGCTTGCCAGAGAAGCGCTTATTCTACTGAGCCATCTTCCTGGCCCCCAAAATGGTCAGTGAATGAAAAAAAGTTGTACCTAAAACTACCATCAGGTAGATTTTAAGTTTGGCTAAACCCCTTGTTTTCTTCTCAGTATAGTTGACATGTAAAATATTTCAGGGATGATAACTAGGAACTGCTCCAAATAGGTAGGTAGCTACAGGAAAATGCATCACCTTTTAATTTCTAGACATCTTCTTTCCTACTTTAAAAATGTAGATAGTGTTTGCACAGTGGGGTTAGTGGGTTGTTGCAATTCACCCAGTTGTTTTCTCAGCTTCTAACAGGGCTGAGATCTAGAAACCACTTCCTTGCCCAGAACCTACTTAGATGCTGTTGATTGTATAGGCACAGGAATTGGTTGGCCCTGGAATATAAACTGTGTAAATAGTTATACTTGGCCTTTCTCAGATACAGTCAGGTGGGAACAGCCCTACTTCTGGATCTGGACCAAGGGCAGGGTTTATTCTTGGGGTATAGACATGGACCACAGAACTAGCCAGTTTGGTCACAGAGGGCCTGCAGAAGACTGTTTAGAACTGGGGATTGGTGGGGGTAGGAAGAGAGTGGGTGGCTTACTTCCTTGTATTATTTTCCTTAGGGCATAAATTATAAGCCCTTGGTGGCATTCATAATTCCTACTTTATTACAAAAGGGTGTATTTTTTTCTCTCTTTAAATGAAGAAGCATCAACATAAGCTAGCTTGATTTCTAAGCAGGAAGCATACAGGCTCTGCATGTTCCTTGCTTTTGTTATAGAAGCTGCTAGAAGATGGCTCTTTATCTGCTCTGCTCCAGAGTACTGAGGTGTAGGACAAACACACGGGGAATTGGTGGCACTGGGAGGGCCACACAGCCCTGGGTGTGGAAGGACTTAATTAAGGCCAGTGGCCAATGTAGTTAAGCTCTTTGGTCCCTGTTCTTCCTCACAGGAAGAACAAATCCTTTGGTAGGGAATCACGGTTTGATAGGCCCCTGTGGGAGAGTTCTCCCCCAATGATTGTCCTGTCCTGTCATTCATTCATTCATTCATTCATTCATTCATTCATTCATTCATTCATTCATTCAGTGTGAAGCACTGTGCTTTATTCTTGGAATGAATGAATGAATGTCATCACTTGGGCTTTAGTGTCTTTCTCCTGATGGAAAGAATTGGTCTAGAATATCTCTGAAAAGAGATAATGTGGAAATGAGGCTCATTTTTCTCATATCTTGAGGCTCAATGTTGAGACCAAAACAGCATCTGTAGGAAAAAATAATACACAACACCTCTCATTGCTCCCCGCAAAGGGCTCAGCTCACAGAGAAACAAGCCTTGTGCCCAGTGTGCCTGTGATGGGAAATGTGTCCCTTAGGAAATGAACAGTGGTTTTATTGTCCGCCTCTCTGCTTACTGTGTGGCTAATGATAGACCTTTGTCGTTTTCCCATAGGCTGTTCTTCTCAGGCTGTGCTGTGACAGTGATACAGGCATCTGGGGGTGTGGTGAGGTGAAGATACCCCTGTTTTCCCAGCAGGCAGCCTGCTGATCCTACATATCAGGAGCGCTTCCCTGAGGGATTTGGGGCTGGGGCTGCTTATTAGTGGGAACAGGAACATTTCAGACGTCTTCACACTGAATGGCATGAAATTGGCCCAGCTGCCCTGCACAGCCAGCGATTATGGCGCAGATCACTCATTTGTGGTTCACGCCCTTGGCTTTCTCCTCCTGCCCTGCGATTGCTGTGAGGAAGGGGGCATTTTATGGCTTCTTATTCAGGACTAGCATAAAGGACCCCATGCTATAAATCCTATGACTTGATATTCAGGCTGATAGCAAATCTTCCTAACCATCTTAGTCCTATAAAAATTTCCTTGAAAGAATAATGCATAGTAGTTGAGTTGGCATAGAAATATGGAAGGATTTCAATGGAAATGCTGTAAAATCCCATGAATTAGTTTTGAATAGTCACTGGGGCAGTCATGCATGAATGCTGTTGTCTGCATTCTTTCCCAAAGATTTTGTGGTCATGCAAATGTAATTGCCACTCTGTAAGTCTATCCTATGAGTTCCCTAGCAGAAGCTCTAAACACGTTCCTCTGGTTGTCTCCATTCCACAGCTTTCTGGAATGGCTTGCCTGCCCCCTTCCCTAATCATAGCTGTGTGTCTACTTAAAAAAAAACAAACTACCCTTTTTTTTCTCAAAGCCTTCCTTTATCACCCCAGATCTTATTGAGTTCTGTTCTGTGTGATAAGTGTGGTTTGTGCTTAGACTATTTACCTTGCATTTCTAGTTTTTCAGTTATAGTTTTCTATCTTGGTTGTTTGTCACCTTCCTCAGGAAAATCAAACACATGTCCTAGATAGTTCTGTATCTCTAGCCCTTAGAGTAGAACCATAATGCATATACTGTACCTCTAACATGGTTCAAGATCTTTCCTAAATATGACAGCTATGACATGTTGTATCTTGTCATTGTACAGGTGGGAAAAGCGGGGTTCATTTTGGTAGGAAAAATTGGATGGAATAAGATCACTCAACTGCTGAATTTTAAGTAATATTTGAGCTAGGTGTTTGACTTTAATTTTTTTGTCTGCTTGAATTATTTTAGCTCTTAAATTGTGTTTATTGATTTGCGCTGGTAATCTATGCACATAGTAAGAAAAAAAAACCCCAAAGGTCCTATCCTCTATTATTCCATATCACATTGGTAATTTAATATGTGCTTGTTCTTAAAATGACCTTATTTTCTTCCAGGAAGCCAACTTGCTATTCTAGCTTTTGCTGTTTGATTAGTGACTCTATCACAAAATGTTGGAACTTTTAAAAACCCGTTTTTCTCACTTGTCCCAGCTAATTGATCACTGAAGGCCACCTGATGCTTCAGATGGTCTCAGTCCAAATCTGCTTTGTCCATTGTCACTAGCCCCTGGTCCAGCCATCACTCCCCATACAGGTGACTCAGTCTTGATGCCTTCCATGCCTTCTTTCATCCCAGGGTCATTTAGAAACTGGGCAGTCTACCTCATTTGGATTGACTTCTTATCCCATGGCTTCTTAACTGTTTTTGTTAAAACTATCAACACATTTTCCCAAACTGTGTTGGTAGTCTGGGAGAACAACTCTTAGTTTTTAAATAATGACTTTAAATGTATAAAGCAAAATGCAGGATCACAAAGGGAACTATTTATATTGAAGTAATTTTCCAACTAATTTAAAATCAAATTTTGCAATAGTGATCTATGTTTTCTTGGTAACACATTAAATAACAAAAGTTTTCCAGTAGACACAATGATTTATGTCACTATTTCAAAGTAACAATAAATACAATGGATATTCTGAGATACTCCATAGCATTTATGATGTGATAAGAAAATATTTTTTATTTGTTTGGTGATGAATTACAAGTCCTTCTGACATTGGACTGTATTAGTTACACATTCATAATCAAAGTAAATGCCAAATTTAGTTAGAAGCTAATAAAAATCAAGTGTTAATTTTGGCCCATTTATATTTGTTGATTCCAGGTTAACATCCACTCATCCTTGGTGAGACTCTCAAGAGTATGCGGCCTGTTTTCTGGTTACTCCACACCATACAAATGGGAGGCAGAACTGGGAATAGCCATATCTAATCTGACCCTGTGTCTCTGTTCTCTTTGCATCTGTGCAGGTAGAGGAAGGATGGTGGGAAGGTGTTCTCAATGGGAAAACTGGAATGTTTCCATCCAACTTCATCAAGGAGCTATCAGGGGAGTCGGATGAGCTTGGCATTTCCCAGGATGAACAACTATCCAAGTCAAGTAAGGAAGCCCCACCCCACTGAACAGGAAAGGAAGGGGGCAGACCATTGGACTATCCTTCACCCTTCCTTCTGTACAATATCATATGATGAGAAGCTGTGACAAAAGTTCATGTTTGCTCTACTACCTTAACCCTCTAAGGTTTGGTAAGTTTACCACTATAAAGGTGTGACCTGAAGCCACACATTCTTTATATCTCTGGATTGGTAACTGCCAGCCCCCAACTCATTGGTAACCCATCAGCTGTTCCTCCATATACTTCATATGCTTCTGGGATGTCATTTAATGTAAGTTCATACTTAATTCTTAAGTGAACCAATGAGATTGTCAGTATTTCTTAGCATCCTTTGAGGAACTTGGAGAAATACAACAACAAAAAGAAAAACAAACATGTTGGTGATGAAAAGTGCTGTGCATAAGATAAGTGCATGCCACTTCTCCTAATGACAAGACAGCTGAGAGGCCAGACCCCACCTTGTGTGAGCATGTGTTTCCTTCTGTGATGGTGAGAACGAACGAACTTCAGGTCTTTCTTTCCCCAGGGCCTGAATGTCTCCCTCCAGTTTCTCTGCTGCCCTTCCCAGCTCACGGAGCAAAAGGTCAGGACCGGGAAGCTTTGTTCTCCCAGTCGCTAACCCAACTTCCCACATGGGCGTCTGTGTTTATCTTGTGCTGTGTTGAGCCAAGGTCATGAATGTGAATGTTGCAGAAGGCTCAACTCTGTCAGTGGTGTGGCACTACTTGGTGTTGCTCACTTTCCTTCTTGTTGAGAGGAAGACTGCTCAGTCTTGCCAAGATAATTATTAAATGTCTTCCTTTTCCATTTGGAAAAGTCTGACCTGAGTGATGTTCTTATGTTGGTTTGGTGTCTCTCTTGTTTAACTAGTAGCATAATTGGACAAGTGCCTACTTTGAAAGTAAAGCCTTTACAGAAGTACTCAGGCAACCTCCTTTGCTTAGTATCTCAGTTGTTCTGGATCATGCAGCCTTCCATACATAGCAACAGCTGCACTGGCTGGTTGCCTCATTGACTTAAGCAGTACCTTTCCCTCTACTGCCAAATCATGGAATCTTCTACTTTGAACTCCATTCCACCCTACGGTAAATGATGGGGGGGGACCAGAAAGGGATTTTGGATGTCCTGCTGCATTCTAACTTGGGGCAGGAGACTTTCCCAGTATCTAGGCCAGCTAATAAGAATGGCCCTAAAAGTTGCTATTACTCTCCAAATCCACATTAGATTCTAGCTGCCTTGTTGTCTTCTTTTGTGTATTGGAGTAATGTCATAATTGATAATTAGATCTCGTAATAACAATGCTGTACCTCAGGGACATTGTGGATTAAATGTGCTTTTTTTGGATGGAGAACCAAATTGAATCATTATAACTTCATGTTCATGAGGAAATTCATTATGAATTTGAATGGCAGTAAAATATATAAACCACCCATAGAAGATCCTCAATAAATGGTAGCTGTCATTGTTAAGATAAACTGTGAAGTTAAACTGTTGGGACATTACAGTTAGTGTTCAACTACTTGGAAGCTGTTTGCTTCCTCATTGATACTTTGGCTGTGGAAGCATCATGTCTGTACTGGAAAGTTGCTTTGGGATTCCTCTATTAGTACAGAGAAAGAAATAATGAGAAAGGTTAGACAACCTCATTGCGAGAGACTTGACCTCTTGGGGTCCCATCATCTTAGCTATGCTCTCAGGTTGGAAGGTCAAGGTGAATGCCCCCTGAGTTTTTAGAACTCATGAAACAAACTGTTCTCCAGCCATTGCAAGTTAATAATCTAGACAGCTGGCTGTGCCTGAACTCTTAGCTACAAGCATATAGTGCTAGAATCCTTGGTGCAGGAGCATTAGGAGGCTAAATGGAATGAATGGTCAGCCCAATCTTCTGGCCTTCCTTCATATGCCTCTAGCATTGTTCAATTAATAGCCTTCCATTTCAGGATACAATAGCCCAGTAGTTTCCAAAGCCATGCTTAGTCCATGAAATCTGTCCATTGTTGAAATTTTGAGGTCCTTGGCGAGGCATGCTCTAGTAATGATGGCTGCTGATAAAAATGATGCTGCTTTTGTAACTTTTTTGTATGTATAACTAAGGAAAAGAGGGGCCCATTGCTGCACTTATCTTTATCCATTTATACATCTTTCTTCCTTATCTGCCTTCTTTCCTACTCCTGTTCTTCATTCACTCAGTCTTTGCTGAGCCCCTGTTGTTATTGAGACACTGTCCAAGGCACAGAAGAAACAGAGTCTAATCAGACAGGCTGTTTCCCTTCAGTCAGCTCACCTTAATGAAAGGGTGCACACAAATTCCCAGAAGTTCAGGAAAGTGCTTTCATCTGAGGAAGGTTGGGTACAAAGACAGAGTCCAGTGTCATTGCTATATGGGGGTGGAAGCAGTCACAAAGGGCTTCAAGAAGAGAAGGTTTGAGAATAATGTCAATGCAACCTGCCAAATTGAAGTCATTGCTTGAAAGAGAGAAATGGCATTTCTCAGTATTTGAACAAGATTTTCAGTAGTCATTTACACCCTGGATTTGCTCCAGCATCTGTGTGCTAAAGTTTATATAATCAGCTAGCCATGGTGGCACATGCGTGTAATCCCCGCACTCAGGAGGCTGAGGCAGGAGGATCATTGCAAGTTCATGACCAGCCTGAACTACAAAGTGAGCTCAAGGCCAGCCTGAACACAGCAAGACCCTGTCTCAAAAAAGACTAAAAAAAAAAAAAACCCAAAAAACTTTATATAATCATATCATCTTATTTTATTTTCTTTTTATTTCTTTCTTTTTTTTTTGGTGGAACTGGGGTTTGAACTCAGGCCCTTGCACTTTCCAGGCAAGCTCTTATTCTACTGAGCTATCTCCCCAGCCCCAATACCTCAGAAATTATGTATACTAGTAGGATGTGTCTAAGTAGAAAGAACCCTTGCTTTAGAATAAATCTGCTTATTTTTTATTGCTGGAGAATAGTTTTAATAGTTCCAGTGTACTTTATTTTTTCAAAAAAATTGTTTTGAAATTAAATATCCACAGGAAGTTGTAAAAATAAACACAAAATTATATGGCAGTGACCCATGTACATTTTACTTAGCTTCTCTCAGGAATGACATCTCATAATTACAGTAAATTCATATTTGCTTTTGTCTTAAAGTTGAAAAGTACAAAATATAGCTAATGTTCAAAAGATATCTAGTCTTTTTCAGATATAAGTACAAATTTGCTTAATTTTTTTAGACTAGACCATTTAATATTCTTTGTAAAATGCCATTAGGTTTTCCAAAGAATGTTTAGTTAATGTGCAACTCTGGGGGCAAGTTAAATTCTAATATTTGTGCCATATTTGTAAATTTTAGAGATCACAGTGACATCATATAAACAGGTTTTAATTTCAATGTTACCAGACATTAGGGTGAGCTTTTTTTAAAGACAGATAAAATCTATATCCTACTATGAAGAGAATCTTGTGTACAGTGAGTCCTTTTGCATCTCTTTGTCACTCACACACATACACACAAACCTACTTCTTTTTTTCTTTTTCTTTCTTTTCTTTTTTTTTTTCCAGAACTGGGGATTAAACTCAGGCCCTTGCATTTGCCAGGCAAGCACTTATTCTACTGAGCTATCTCCCCGGCCCTACTTTTTTCTTTTTTCTACCAGGGATCAAACTCAGTGCCTTGCTTGTGCTGCTGAGATATATTTGTGGATTATGCCCATACTTCTGTATGTACATATGCTTATTTTATATTTTTATACTTCACATTTTTATTTTAGTACTTGTGGTAGTTATTGAATTTTGTATACTAGTGGATTAATGTAGTAGAAAAATATTAGCATTATTTTTATGAAGAAATGTGTCATGACTGCTTGGCACATAATAGATATTTAATAAGTGCTTAATTAATTCTTATTACTCTAAGGAGACATTTTAATCTTTGAATGACAGGATAAAATTTCTGGAACTTGTTTTTTTTTTCTTACTCTGAAGTATTTTTAATATATAGAAGTTGGTTATGGAAACTTCTAAACCATCTTACATCTTTGTTCATGGTAATCTAGTCTATCAAGGAAAGAATTCCAGCAGTTAGATTGGTTGATAGTTTGGTTTAAACATGTTACCTCAAAGAAAGTTGATAGTTATATAGAAATGTTTTGCTACATATTTAAATTCAAAAAGATCTTTACCGGGGCCGGGGAGATAGCTCAGTAGAATAAGGGCTTGCCTGGCAAGCACAAGGGCCTGAGTTCAATCCCCAGTTCTGCCAAGAAAAAAAAAAGGATCTTTACCATCTACAGAACTTACAGAACCTTAAAGGTAGTTTTTCAAAAATGTTTTAAAAAGTGTTTATTATAGAGCATTTCTAACATGCAAAAGTAAGAATAGTATAATAGCCAGGTATGGTGGTACATCCCTGTAGTGCTAGCACTCAGGAAGCTGAACCAGGAGGTTGGCATGAGTTCAAGACCAGCCTGAGCATACAGTGAACCCATATGTACTAATCACCCAGCTGCGCAGCTTATTACCCCATGGCATTTCTGGTGAACCTATGGCACACATGTTATTTGTTTACCTTTCAAGACAAAAACAGTTCATTTATGATTTTTTTTTCAGTTTAGGCACTCATCTCTAAAAGTTTCATCATCCCTGCCCTATGGTCAATTTGTTCAAATTTTAGCCTCATGCATTCTTCTCCTTTATTATCTTGTAGGGAAATCCAGATGTTATATAATTAAATACATAACTATTTCAATGTGTCAGTAAAAGGGTATCTTAAAATACCATTATTGCCTGAAGACATAATTATGACAATTCCTTAAAATAATTAAATATAGGATGACTATTCACTTTCCCCTAACAGTCTTCTCTCCTGGGATGCAATTTATTAGTGTGAATCTGGATCCAAATAAGGTATATACATTATGATTAGTTGAATTGTCTCCGGTTTCTTTGAATCTAGCTTTCTCCTTCTTTCCTCCTTTTTTCCATA